ATCAACATTCATGGTTGATTATTAGAAGCTGCTATCATAGCAACTAGCAACAGCTCCATTTATTGGCTGTAATCAAGTTAGATACTATTTTGGATTACAGTAATTTGATTAGGAGTTTATAGGTCCTTCACTATATGACTATACTTCAAAACACTCCACTCAGTATAATAGTCTACATTATAATGACACTCATGAATGTTAGCAGTATCTTAGTGACATTATTGTTATTGTAAAATATCAATTTAAACACATTGCAATCAAATTAATTGTAATTCAATGATGCACTGGCCTAATAACAAAATGACATGTTAGCTACTCAGTATAAACTTTTAATTCATTCATTTTTCTTTTCTTCATTTTTATAATATTCTTTCCCAACAACCTTGATATAGAAAGTAGCTCCATTGTAACAGGCAACTAGGACAAGTGTAAGAAAGTGAACACAACTGAAAACAAACCTACAACATTAGTTAATAATAAATACACCACTGCATGTATGTGTTATGATATATAATTACTTACGATATATAGCATAAGTATGCTAGTATCAGTAGGAAGTATCCAGTTAGAATGCTTGCAACAAAGTACATCTGTGTTTGATATTTAGGTCCCAAAAGGTGAACCATAGTATTTATTATTCCTAGGCTCTTAGTACTCTTATCTTTTGCCAGTATTGCTGTTGCTGCTGTAGCCAATTTATTCTTTTTTATTACTTCAGCCTTCCAATAGAAGACCTGTATATAGTGTCATGAATATAAACTCATTATTATGTTGCATATAACTTACAATTGGTACATAGTATGCCATCCATATTCCATATATCATAAATGGATAGAGTATCAGTTCATCCCAACCAATGTTGTTACATCCATTAACTCCAGGCTCTGTTGGATTAGCACATAACTCAAACCCTTGATCTGGGGTACTGTACCTAATGTGAACATGGATTACTTGATACCCTATAGTAACCTATTTTACAGCAATACAATATGGCTAAGATGAGGCAAATTTTGCTGGAGCATAAAGGGTCAAAATGTAAGGTTTCAATTCATTATTAAAATATTATTTCTACTACAAATATATAACAGATAGGTGTAAATGTAACTTGATAGCTGATATTTGAGTAAAGTTTAAAATATGAGCATATAATAATGAGCATAATTGGATTCATTTCAAACCATAATTTGGTGGAATTTGGGGCAGCAACTGCTTCTACCATGTACTGGGCTAAAATAAACAATTAGTTTACTTAGCAACAGCAAAATCTGTTTTTGAACAGAAAGTGAATAAATAAATTGCCTATTAACCTAGCTCCCACTCCCAGTGGTAAATAAGTTATTCATGAATCTAAAATCAAGCATTCTGATTGGTCAATTACAATTAGGCATTGTAGAATGGCTTGTTAATCTATCATACTGCTACTGATGGTCTTTACTGAGTTTTATGAGTGAAGCTCTACCATATAGGCTTACATACATCTTAATATGTGGAGAGGTGTTATAACACTAAATTGATATTCACTATATATTTCATGCATAATTTACCATCTTATGGCCCATGTGCAAATAGCTGGTGAAGTCTGGAAGAATAACTGGGCCATTTTGTCTATTGAGTGAGGCACGAAAGCAAATCTCCATAAATATATCGACCAAATCAGTGGGCCATGAGCAGCAAAAAACAGAGCTGGA